GGCGTATCCAAATCTTCCATTTCACCTTGGGGTATTCTGTCGAATAAGTCGAGTGACAGGGGACCGGCAGTCACCCACTAGGGGAATCTTGGGAAGGGGGGGTGGGACTTGATCTCACCCGTTGCTACCACAGCAACATTATTGATTGATTGATTGAGGTCCAACCAAGTGTGAATGAAATAATCGCACTACAGCACCATTTTTGCACCAGTGGCTAACAGTAAACTTATAGCCTCTAACAGGGTTCCTAGTAATGACCCACGAAATCGTTGCCAGCAAATTTCAGTAGATTACAGTAAAAAAATCGAAATTGTAGCCATTAAATTTCAGTAAAATCGAAACGATAAAATATACTGGGCAGTACTGTCAGAGAATATCGGAACATATTCATAATAAGTATGGAGCTAAAAGAATCATTTAGTTATTTTTTAAATTGTTGATAACTTTCATAGATAATACAGCTATTTTTTGTTTTAAAATTTGTTTTCATCTATTTTATTATTATAAAATTTCATCAAAAGTTCACTATATTTTATTCCAATATATAATATTCCTACTGAAACCATATCAAATCCCTCTTTCAATATTTTTAAGACTATAAAGCTAGCAGAGCACGGTGACCGATTTTCAAAATTATAAAAAATTTAATCTATTTTCCTCATTAGGATAGCTTTATGGACACATTCATATAACCAGGTGATTGTGAACTAATTCGAAATTAGATTCATCCTGAAGTGAAATTGGGCATTCTTCTGAAATCTCTGGTGAAGTCTTCATGACAGAGACTAGAGATCTATTAGTCTTCTCATTGAATATCTTCATCGATATAAATGTGATTCCACTAGAAACATGAATATTGGAGATGTATGTAGAGTTTTTGAAAAGCACAATATGATTTTGTTTTTGGATCAATGACAAATGATATTTATCATTCAGGACGTGGAAAAAAATTCTTAATTGAGAAAACCTAATCACGAATCTGCGATTAGAGGTCTATAAAAATAACAAGTTTTCATTTCCATTCTCAGATATACAATTATAAACATGAAACAATTTATATATAAAGAAAAACATTGAGAATTCGCATTCTGTATGTGATGAAAATATTAATTCTTTCTCGGTTTATTCAACAGAAATCAACTACTTTCTTGGCTATGTGCCACGACGAACATTGGTTCTGTCTAAGCGGTGATGATATTGAAATGAGACACAGTCTAAGAATCGAAAAGTACTTCATATTCAGAAATGGTGCATGGTTTTTCCAACTTCACATTCCGATTATAATGCTACCTCAATGAGACTCCAATTTCAACAAGAAATTTGAAGTCCCAGTTAGCTAACAACGAGTCCAATTTGGCATCTGAATGAGAAGTGAAAAGTGACCAAAAGGGCCCCAAATGGAGGATCTGGAGATCTTGGTATGATTCACAAATCGAATCATGTTAAAGCAGTTATTTTATATCCAATGGCGGTAATGAATTATCAATCATTTCACTACTGCGAATCAGAATTATGCTATTGTATTGCATTAAAAATAATAATCATCAAAAAATACTTACTTTTATCTGTAGAGTAGTGAAATATCCAATCGTAAATCCACAAGCACCTCCAACTGCAATGATTGACCAGAAGTAAATTTCAGTCAATCTGGTATATTTGTACAGCTGGCCGAGTTCGCCATTCAGAGCCATGAATGGCATCAAAATTATACTTGCGTATACGTTGTTTGCATACGACAGTGCCCATATCTCGCCATTCACCTTGGGAAGTACTTTCTTTGTGAAAATTGAGAACAAAGATAGGGATAGTGAACCTAGAATCCCGAATATGAAACCAGGTATGGACAAACTACCTGAAACAAATGCGACAGTCAAGTCAAAAATAACAATGTATTATACAGGATGATTCAAGGTGGATGACATAATTAGATATTTCTGGTGAACCCGACAACGGATCACTTTGAAAATTTGATGGAGAGCATATTTGGACAGTCTATTAAAAAGTAGTGGCAACTTTGATTTTCCGATTGAAACATCATATCTTCTTTAGAATCTCCAATCTTCTAACCAATTAACATGAAAATTCCCTATATATACCGATGTTATCGTTTTCGAAATGAATATTGATTCCAATATTTTTCTTCGAAAATCATGAAAATTCTAATATCATTGTTAGGAAGTACTATGATATCTAAATGCGGTTAGGAGTTGGGTGATACTTGTGGCCTTTCCACACTGAAGCTTAGTCTCCGTTACTTCAATATCAATCAATCAATCAAAATATGCTATATTATCAGAATAATATCTTATTGACAAAGCGTGTATATATAAATGTAAATTAAATTAATAACATTTGATAAATGTATAAAAATAGCCACTATCATATAAAATTGATTTTAATCAAAACAGTCCCATATTGAAAGTCGTATGTATACACATACATAAATATGTCATACAATACAGAGTGGTGGAAAGAAAAAAACAGTTTTTTCGAGTGCTTGAAGAAGTGTCTGAGATTTCATTAATTATAATTTCAAAGAGAACACCCTGTACATTATTGAAAATTCGGAGAGCTATTGGAACCAGCTTTTTTTCTATGTATATCATAGTTACTTATATCTAACCAGTCAAGTTATGAAGCGAATATTTGTGAAAATGTCCCATCAAAATGGTATCTAAAATTCGGTATCTGGTAAGCGTATGCATTCTATATAATCAAAGTCTTTCGAAAGAACGCATATTAACTGATTCAGTTCAGTACTAGTGAAATGTTTTAGTTAGTGCAGAGTTTTGGCCGAAATTGCCAGAATCTATCTGCCTGCTGATTGAAGGTTTTTTTTAGTGTAACATCAAAGTGGAAAGAGAATTCTTAGGATCATCATGATTACTGTTGAAGGTATCTCTGTATATTTGTGTAGGTATTAGCTAATAGCTTCATTTTCAAGAGAGCTCATTGTACAGGGTGATTCACCATAAATGTCCCCCCTTCCCTCTAGCTCACTTATTTTCGAACCGATTTAAAAATTTGAAAAATCATCTAAAATTATTTTTCAGAACTTTTTCCCGTTGCATCAGAAAATACAGGGTGCTCGGAACAAACGATCTACAGAGTACTACTTGATTTTTTCAAATGGAACACCCTGTATTCCATTGTATTTTTAGATTCTCCCTGAAGAGCTGATTTCATCAATACATCACACTTGGGGTCTAGCATGAATGATTACAGAGATATAGGGTGTTCAAAATCGAGATTCAAAAAATCAATATACGCAGACATATTCATCTAATAGAACGCTTCACTAGGTTTCATAGAAGTGATCATAGGTGGCAGGGTCTTCTGAATATGTGAGTAATGTCAATATGACAAATGAATAATGACGGGCACACCGAGTAAATAAGAAATTTTGTATTGTTATGTTTTTCATAAATCAACATCATTTGAATATTTTCAAATGGAGTTTTTCGTACAGCATTTCTATAAATACAGTTTGGTAAGTGATTGTTGTTCATATAGAATCCATATTTTTCCAAGATAATTGTTTGATGGTGAGAAGTAAACAAGTCCCTCATATGTACCAACATGCCACTTGGCCAATATCATTCATATTCATCATTGCAGATATCATGGATCGTGATACTGGAAATTTTACCATTTACATTGGTGGATATAACAATGCATGAGTTATAAGATGAAGTAGATACTTGATTTGATGCAATCTGTGATGAAATTCCATCTGATTGTGATTCGGTTGATTGCAATGATGGAGCCAATGATTCTGACGAGGAGAATGAAATACAGGAAATTGTACCCGAAATACTACCAGACGACGATATTTCTGAGTGATTTTCAACTCTCAGAGATTGCGGCAAGGATCAGATCCGAGAAATAATATCACTTCGCCATGTAGTGCTCGAAACTTGTATACTGCTCCAACTTGGAATGAGAACAATGTTATTGAAGAACCTCAACAGTTTGCAGCAAGTTCCGGAGTACTTGATTTCATCATGAATATGGATGAGCAAGATCCTGGTGATGAAATGAGAATGAAGAAAAACTGAATGAATTAATTCATAATCACACATTACGAGTTGTAGGGAAAGAAATTGCTATTATTATGAATATGGGTATTGAAGCTTTTTTATCTAGAGCAATAAATGTATTCATTCAGGAAAAAAGTCGAATAATTTGTAAGCCTCATCTGAGTGAAAAACAAAATAGGGATGGAATACTGCAAATCTATTTATTTATTGAGAATTTATCTGAGTAAGGACAAGGCGGTACCCACACAGCACGAAATATTCAATAAATATTGCCACAATATTACAATATTGCAGTTACATTTGCAATATTTCAGATATATTGCAGAAATATCGTATTGGTATATTGCAATTTCAATATTTCGAAATATTACTGCAATGACACTAATTAGTATTTTCATATGATTGCGACGTTCATCGACAAGTATATTTTTTATATCTGCATTATAATATTGAGATATCGCTTAAAATTATTGATTGCCTCATGGGTAAATCATGCAATCTTCAAGAAATATTGCAGCAATATTGAATATTGAATCATTTTCCAGAAATATAAAATGTTCATATATTGAAGACTGGAACCTTTGGCACGATAATACACTACACTGTTTTACCACTAACCAAACCGATTTTTGAACACCTCGACACGTGTTTCGCTAACTATGTTAGCATCTTCAGGAGAAGATTAAAGTTTTAATCTCAAGGTAATCTCTAAAATTCCCTTAATGAGAGAACCAGTACTACTAGGTAAGTGCCGTGTGCAACTGATTTTTGTTGATTGAAAGGTATCTATCTCAGCACTCTCAGCAGCCATGTTATCGATGATCGTTGGCGTCTTCCACTTGTGAAATCCATTTTTTAATTATCAAAATGTCGATTATCATCGTTTTGAAATCATAATAAACTCGATAATAACATAAGTACCCTATTTCCAACTATTTGCTGAGTCCATTTTTTGAGTGTTTTTTTTTTAAATTTTGAACACTACCTACCCTATGTTAAAAATGACTATTGATAATGATGTGAGCGTTATGGAAAAGGTTTTAGACGGTTTTAGATACCTATTACCTGAGATTTTAATGTTTTCACTTGTATATAGCTTGTAGACACTTGTAGGTATTGTTAACATATTAAATTGTTTCCAGATTATATAATGTTTCCATGATTTTGCATAAATGGGTATGTAAAATGTAATAAGGATTGTTTTTTGGTACTGAAATTATTGTTGACATGGGTAGAAGGAGAAAACTTAAAACTTCAGTGTCTAAAAGACATGCCAGGCGTATCATTGGGCATCAAACTGCCATGGATTTAGAAGCAATAAATGGTCTATCACCATATCATTCAGTTGAGGAACTTGAAACTGATGATGATCAGTATCCTGATCAATGTAGTGAACATTTGGTGTATTATGATGATGAAAATATGGCCAACAACAGCAATTTCCATAATCTCAGAAATAGTTCTCCATCACTAAGCACTTGCAGTGGATTAATTGAGGAAAGAAACATAGATCCAGTCCTGGTTCCTGATATCCAGAGTAATTGTGAGGAAGAATGCCAAGCTATGAATAATTCACATGAAAATAATAGTGATTTTAATGATAAAAATCTTGATTTTAAAAATCATTTAGCATCATGGGCTGTTAAATATAATGTTCCTCAGAATGCTTGTAATCAATTGCTAAATATTTTGAGAGAATTTACAGATTTTGATCTACCAAAGGATACAAGAACATTGCTGAAAACTCCAAGGAAAACAGATTTGATTTCTATAGATGGTGGAAGCTATTATCATTTTGGTCTGAACAGCATCATTGAAAAAATGTTGAATGAAGTCGAATTGACAAAAATTGACTTGCTTGTGAATATTGATGGACTTCCATTATCAAGATCATCAACAGCTTCTTTTTGGCCAGTTTTGTGTTCTAATACAATGAATAAAAAAGTTTATATTGTAGGAGCTTATTATGGATATAAAAAACCTGAGAACTGCAATGAGTTTTTAGGTTTCTTAACACAGGATCTAGAGATATTATTGAATGATGGATATACAAAGAATGGCAAACAAGTTCAAATTCGTTTGCATGCACTGCAGGGTCCACTTCCAGTCAGAATATCTGCACGACAAGTAAATGATATTTCTAAATTGTTACTTTCTCTGAAAAATACAAAACCAAATGAATTTGTGAGGAGACCTCGCCCTTTGAAAGATGTAAGGCAGTGGAAGGCAACTGAATTCAGAACTTTTTTACTTTACACAGGACCAATTGTATTGAAGAATATCTTGAAGCATGATTTTTTCATTCATTTTATGTCTCTGCGTATAGCTATAACTATTTTAGTCAGCCCAAGACTATGCCAATCTGATGAAAATATAGATTATGCAGAGGCTTTACTCTCACATTTTGTCAGTTCTTTTGAAAGACTTTATGGAGAACAGTATGTCTCCCATAATGTCCACAATTTGCTTCATCTTTGCAATGATGTACGAAAGTTTGGGCCACTAGATTCTTTTAGTGCATTTCGTTTTGAAAATTTTATGTCATCCATCAAGAAACTCTTGAGAAAAAGTGAGAAACCACTAGAACAATTAGTGAGAAGATATTCAGAAATTGAATGCATTGAAATTCCTGAAAAAAATCGGTCTTGTGACTCTGAACTGTGCTTTAGTAGTGAACATTCAAATGGGCCTTTAGATAACCATTTCAATAATGATTATGATTCTCAATATCGAATAATGACCTTCCAGAATTGTACCTTCAAATGTAAAAGCAAATGTGACAATTGTTGTTTATTGAAAAATAATTGTTGCATTGTTATGGAAAATATTGTTAGAGGCAGTGACAATATTATGTATATTGTTGGAAAAAAACTTAAAGAAATTGGAAGCCTTTACAAGTCACCATGTGACTCTGTACTTTTGGACATTAGAATCATATGTGATGACGAAAATTCTAGAAGAATGCGTTGGCCAGTAACTGATATTAAATGCAAAGTATGGAAGATGCCCTACAGAGAAAATTATGTTGTATTTCCATTGATTCATACTAACTGAAGTAAAGTCACTATCCATGTCAACAATATTTTTCCCAAATAAACATACTTGACAATAAGACCCTGAGTTATACAAATATCCAATTTCATGCAGAAGAACAAAAAATGAAAAAATATTCAGTAGTGGAGTTTTCCGATGGCTTGGCATTGGTGCCATCTGTCTGGTTGAATGAAAAAAATGATACCTGCATTTATCCCACCCACATAAAAAGCCAGAGTCGACTAAATAAGGCAATTTTTGAAGAATAGCTACCCACTGAATTTGAGGAATGGAATAAACATTCTGTAATGAGAATATATGGAACATCAGGTGAGTTTTTATTTTTTTGGAATACAACATATATTTTTTGACTTAAATTTACAGATTCTTTTGATAAAGGCATGAGGAAGCTACAATTAGCTGAAGAGACATCAAATGTTGACACAGATAGCTATGATGCAGAATCTCAGGAAAGAGACAATCAGGAGTTAATTCTCCTTCCTGTTCCATGCTAAATAGGGTTTTGGAGCCTGGAAAAAAATCTGTTCTTCATGAAAAAAATATCATATGTACCCCAAAAAGGAGAGTAGAAGATAAATCAAGACAAAAAGAAACAGAAAATATTGATGGACGAGAAAAATTTGTCTCACCTAAAAATCTTCTACAGGGTCATACACATGCAGAAATTTCATCTTCTGAAAATGCATCTAGAAATGGTAATTTTTTTCTAATTTTGCCATCACCTAACTCTGTTCCCATTTCATTTTTCTTTTTTATTTCTAGAGTTTCGAAAACTGGTCCTTTCAAAATTAAACACTTTGTTGAAAAAAAGTGATCAAATTGAAGAGAGGCTTATTGCATTGGAGCAGTTGAGACAAAATAAAGCTGACGATGATGTGGAATCAGATGAGGAAGGCATTGGTATTCCTTTGACAAATTTAGCTGAACTAGATGATTTTGAAGAAAAAATTAAGACTAATTCAGATTATTCTAGAAAATTGGTAAGGATAACCAAATACATAATATATTCATAATATATGTATACATACATTTATTCATATACTAATATGTTTTTATCTTCCATCAGATTAATGTTCTGAAAAGAAGTGGAGGATCAGATGTCAACTCCATTATATATGGGATTATGAGACAACTTCTTACCAATTCCCTTGCCCAAAAATTCAGCTGGGTTGGTTTCAAAGGAAAAAAAAATTTCAAGGAACTCCGTCTGGCCAAACTAATAACAAGTGGGTGTCCCAAAATCTGTGTCTCAGAACTATTTTTTGTATATCCAATTCTATTCAATCAATCATCTCTCTACGTTTCGGAAATATTATTAAATATCATCTTCAGTATTTAACAGCCAACATTTTTCAGAAACTGTTCGTATTCATAAAAATACTATAACTGATGATGTCATTGCCGAGGCGATCAGCAAATGGTTAGCTCAAGCACAACTGAGAGCATCCAGGGAAGAGATGAGGGCCAATAAGAATAAATCGAATAACTCTGTGGAAGAAAGTGATGAAAATTAAAAAACTTATGTTGATCTACTCTTCTTTATATTATGCATACTTCATACTTACCCATCTATCAGTCATGCAATAGTTATTTGTTTTACTAGGCATAAAAGTAATGCTGGTTTCCTAGCCGCAGCATTAAATCTTCTTTTCTGCCCTGTGAAACAAATAATTTTTTCTCCAAGTTCTTTTTGCAAAGTTCAAATAATCCATCATTTTTTGTTCACCCAAGGTCATTGTCAATTTTGATTACCAATTTGATTCAAATTGCATTACAGGATATATCTTTTCATGGGAACCAGAAAATAAAAAAATAAATAAATTAAAAATCCACTTTTAATGTCATTTGGAGAAAAAAATTATTTCATTGACAATTTTTGAATCTGTTGCGATTCAGATGAGTAAACTATAGTAATAAATGATTGTTTTTGTGTACTTTAGAAATTTCGAGTTCTGTTTTGCTGGTTTTGCCGCACATTATCTGATGTTGATAACCTCATTAAAAAGTTGAACATTATAATATATAGGATAGTATATATTATAATTGTGGTCTCAGAACAATGTGCAATAAATTATAAAGGCTGAATTAGGATCCAAATATTTTGAACTTTTGACTCTGAAATTTACATTGATCGAAATGATATGACATGTCATATTATCACAACCCCATTGGAAAAATGTTCTCTAAATTTTATGGCAGTATATACCTTTGAAGGATTCCAAAATATTCAAGTCAATCTGAAAAAAATATCCTTCATCGGCGTATTTGGAATTTTAATCCACCCTGTATAATTTATTATATGTTGTTTTGGGACACCCTGTATATGAAAAATTTCAATATTTCTATATAGTATCTCAAATATAGCTTAAATATTGCATATTATTTCTGCAATATTGTTCGGATATATTATCAAATATATCTGCAATATTTCATGTTAGATTTTGGGGCGGACATTTAGATATTTTAGCAATATTTCTGGAATATTTCATCAATGTTTTGCAATAAAACAAAAATATTTCAAATCTGTCTGGACCATATTCCTGCAATATTTCTGAAACAATACTGTGCTGTGTGGGTAGGGAACAGGGGAGCGTGCGTCCCCCCCCTTGCCCCCTTCTGGACGCCACTGGGCAAGAAGGCGATATCTGATTCATCAGCTAGTCTTCGAATATTCAAAATGAGACTCCTTTGTTTCAATTACAAAATTCGACAAGTATCTGGGAAGATATTTTATACTCCAGATATGCTATCTAGAAATCCCTGTAGGAAGCCAACAAAAAATAAAAGATATTTTGGAAATTTTTTATCAATAACATAATCGGATATTTGCCTTGTTCAGATATAAAGTTGGCGTAAATGAGGATGTTTGAACAAGATGATGAAGATTGTAAATTGAGTAATTGTCGAACCTGTATTTTGGAAATATACATCCGAATTTTCAATATATTCAAGTCAATGAGAAACAAAATTTTGAATAGTCAATGAAGTGTGTTGTTTAATTTATTTTATTTCTATTCATTTGATAATCAAAAAATAAATTATAATATTCTGGAGAGTTTGTTCTTCTACTGTGCGCTGAAGTCCTGAAAAAAATGAGATTGAGGAAGAAAAGACGAGAGGGAAGGTTCATAACACTACCTATAAATAGGAAGAGAAGAGAAAAATATGCCTCTATATATTTTCTGAAAATTAAGGCCTGTGACCTAGAACAATTTTTCAAATTGACCAGAATGACTGTTCCAGTATTCGATAAACTGCATGATTTGGTAGCTCCAATAATTTCTAGAAGGCACATTCTAAGTGTTCCTTGTAGTTCTGTGGTGTGTTTAAGTAGTGTCCTATGCGTCACGGCAGTAGGCAGTGAGACGTGAAGATGTCGACTTGATAGGGAAGACTAGAAATGAGAGTAAATTACACTGATTCTTGAATAGTGCTTTACTTAAGAATCATCTCCTGAGATATCAATATCTTACAGTATTCATCAAGGACATATGGAAGTAATGAAGTCAATGAAGGGTGTTGTTCAATTTATTTGATTTCAATTCATTTGGTTATCAAAAAATTAATAATAATCTTCTGGAAAGTTTTGGTGTTGTTCTCCTATGTGTGTGAGTTCTGGAAAAAATGAAAGTGGGGAAGAAAAGACGAGAGAGAAGGTTCAAAATGCGACCTCTAAATAGAAAGAGAAGAGAAGAAGACGCCTTTATATTTTTCCTGAGAATGAAGGCCTGTGACCTAAAACAATTTTTCAAATTGACCAGAATTACTGTTCCAGTATTTGATAAATTGCATGATGTGGTACATCCAATAATTTTTAGAAGGCAAATTTCTGATAGTTCATGTTCCCAGCAACAATTAGCAATAACATTACAGTAAGTTTCGCACTCTTGCTATGTATTGAATTCACATATTTATTCTATATCACTCATTTTCAGATATCTTTCACAAAGAGGAACTGAATTTGGATGAATTTGGCTTGGGCATACCAGATGGGCTCTACAACAATTAACAAAATCATTCATGAAACCTACATTGCAATTTGGGATGTTCTTTCTCCTTTCCTCTGAAGAAGACTGGATCAATATTTCAAATCGATTTTTTGAGCAGAGGAATTTTCCCAATTGCTTGGTGCACATGATGGGAAACACATTGCAATTCAATGTCCCCCCGTAGTGGTTCAATGATTTTCAACTATAAAATGTTTATTAGGATAGTAACTATGACAGCATGTGACTCTGATTATTCATTTAATATGATTAACATTGGGACATGTGGATCACGGAGTGATAGTGGAATTTTCAAAAATAGTGCATTTAGTGAGAATTTTGACAAGACAATGCATGTACGTCTACCATAAAATATTTCCAATAGTAGCATTGTAGTTCCATACTGCTTAGTAGCAGACGATGCATTTCCTTTGGAGGATTACATCATGAGACATTTTTGTTTTATGAAAATTTACAATTCTGAAAAGTGGAAAGGAAAAAATCTTCAGGCAATAGCAAACCCAGAGAAGATGTAGGTTCATCAGAAGACGAGCACAGGTACCTTCCTTTGAAATATCCATCCAGTGGTGAGACATGAAAAAAAATCAGGCATTCATGGTATATAATCAAGATGAAATTAGTGTGGATCATCAATAAACTATCCATGCGGTGAATGCTAAAATAATGTGAAATCAAATCAAACGGCCATTGAATGTAAAGGAGGAAGTAAAAAATTGAATCACCTAAACTGCAGAAGCAGCTAACAAAAATGTTGAAGAATTATCAAAAGAGTTAAAAAAACCAAGTGGAAGAAGGTGGAAATGTATGAAATGTGCTTCAGAAAAACCTACAATTATTAATGGAATACTTTACAAAAATTGTGTTTATTTTTTAATTTTAGAACAATTCAATCACACTCTAGATCTATGGAAACTTACTGATTACTGATGTAATCGGTAAACAATCAAACCATCAATATTACGTGGCACGCAGTGATAACCTACATAGCCGAAGCGAATAGGCCGACTGCTTCTCGACACGCGTTACTGTGATTCTTGTATACAGGGGGCGCCAACAGTTTGTCAGTTATATGGAAAAAAGTGAATTTCTGGAATATCTATGTTATTTTATTTCTATACGTTATTATGAGAGATATAGGAAAATGAAAATACTTTCAACTTTCAACAATGGATTCTGTAAATATACATACTTGAAAAAAATTTAAGGTTTCTATATTGATGAAATAATATTGTTGACTCAACATATAGACCATTTGAAAAGTAACATTGTCATATATCCAATCATAGGAGTTTTTTCATGATACGAGATATTATTCCTATGAAATACTTCAAGTGTAACTACTTTTGTCCCATTTATTCAAATTTACAATATACAATTTCCTTTTGGGGTAGTACAAATATTTCACGGCTAGAACAACTAATGAAATAACAAAACAAATCAATCAAGTGCATTTTTCATCAACATTTTTTAGAACCAACAGTAAATTTATACAAACTTAATAAAAACTCAAAATATGTTTTATTAATTTTGCCAGGATGGCCAGTCTATAGTTATGGGATTAGACAATTTAATTACTTGATAGCAAAATACATTCAAGTCGAACATTGGCCAACAATCTGTATCTCACAATAGAATATTTTTATGCCATATATTACCAAATAAGTTGAAAAATATACATGATGCAAGAAGATTTAAAATCAATGTGAAACAATACCTGCTAGTGGGGTCGGATAGCGGAAAAAAGTTTCACATCTGGCAACCAATGCGCCCTTTTGGATTCACCCAGTACATGGGTAGACGCGTTGAAAAAGCTCGGGACACAAATTTTTCTGGCTCTCTAGCGGCGTTGATGACGTAATCAATATGGCCGCCATAGTTTTGTGGCAAGCTTTTACATTTCCCTGTGTAACTCGGCTTTGTATTAAAATATTAACCAATATTATTAGTGATTATTGATGAGGAGAAAGTAGGCTTTCCAACGGTATGGAATATATTATCGTTCAAGTTTGTAATTATAGAAATAATTGCAACATAATTTTTTTTTTATTCAATTTTGATTTCTATCGAAACATTTTGCTTTATTGCTCGAAACCCGTTGCATATAGCTAAAAACGTAGCAGATACTTTTTGTTCATCAATGAATTAGCTTTCGGATGGTGTATATTTGTATTTGTATTTATTTATAGTGTTACTACATTGTAAAATGTTTACACTCGTCAATATATGTAAAAAAAAATCGTTTGATAATAAATAGATAAATGAAAAAAATAAAATAAAGGAAATAAAATAAATAACAATAAACATGATCACATTGGTCAAACAAACATATACGCTTAGTTCTATAAATATCACATTTCAGTATTGTTAACTAAAAGCTTTATAAATCTATATCATGTCATGTGTCAATAAGGCTGTGAATTCCTGAATAGAGTAGAAACATTTTCTGATCAGATATTTTTTTAATTTACATTTGAAGGGCATTAAATTTAATTTCTTCATATCTTCAG